CTGGAGTTCAGACGTGTGCTCTTCCGATCTGGTCTAAAAATTTTGCTAAAAACAGATCTGAAAATAATTTTTTGTTGAATCATCAAAATAATTTGTTGGAAATAATTTGTTAAAGCTGATAAGAATCGCTATAAAACATTTTGATATTTTAGCAATCACTTTGACTTTCGCACAAAATTATTTTGATTATTGAACAAAAATTATTTTCAGATCTGGATTCAGCAAAATTGTTCTTTCCGTGTAACAAACTTTAATTTCATCCCCTCCCCCCTCCTCTAGCTCTGATAACAATTGTCACTTCAACTTGAAACTTCTCTATAATTAATGTCTCATTATAGGTATTATTTGGCATGCAGTTCAGTCTCAAAATCGAACCCAAAAATTTTTTGGATCACTCTTTAGCGACAGCGATAGTTAGCCTGTGTCAGGATTGCCATAGAAAATAATTTTGAAATTTTCTGACTTTTCCATGATTTCCAAACGACAGTGGAAAAATTTCCACAATCAGTATCAAATATATAATTCTGAATTTTAATATTTAGAAGATATACTATATTACAAGAAAAGTAACTTATATTATTAAAAGTAACATAAATTTAGAAGTTTAATTACATAATATAATCTCAAATGCAAATGCAAATTCGGACCAACAAATTATTAATATCTTTGACATTGTTGCTTTGATGTTATACATTAAACTACAAAGAAAAGTTCCTTTGGTATAACTGAATTTTCCATTGTTTGGGGACCAAACAAAAACTCATTGTCAATCAAAAGCAAAAAGATTCCTATAGACATTTCTTTAATATCGCTAAATATTCAAAATATTTTCGATCGCAATAACAGAAAGAAGTCTCGAACAAAACCGTAATTTTCGAAAATCTTTTCGATTTCCATACAAAATCATTTTATTCTATTATTTTCTATTGTTTAATTCTGGAAGAGGATTTTAAAATCAGAAAAAGCAATCCATACAAAAAATATCGTTATATTTTTTGTATGTATTGCTGTCGTTGAACTGAACTGTCGTTGAGAGTTAACAGAATCGGGGAGTGGATCCATCTTTAAGGAGCAAAATTAAAAATCCCAAGCTCTTTTTATATCTTTCCCTGATTCTTCCAGGTTTGCCCTGACTAGTTTAAATTTCCTTGACTTTTCTTAGTTTTCCAGGTCTGTGGTAACCCTGCTGTGTGTTTTAAGTCGTTGAATTAATCAAAATTTCGGATTAGATGTCAATTCCTTTTTCAAGGAATAACGGTAGCCGAAATGATGGCGTACGAATGCGCGAATTTGTTTAGCGATTGCATATCCGGGACGGTGTGAGGACACGTGTGATGAGAGTGACGAAACGCAGCTGCCGGCTTGTTGCCGGTCGTTTGATCCTCTGGTTTCGTTGGCGAAACGAGAGACACGAGCGAGCGAAACACGACACTCAATGTAGGCTGACATATCAGTGTTGAATAATGCCCTTAAATTTTCTAAGCGTCGCGCGTCGAGCGGATGCCGGACGGCACACGAGATCGTTTGTCCCTGCCCAAAATTTCGTCCCTGCAAGGTTTGCTTGATCGATACACGTCCGCGAGCGTCCCAAACTGCTGCATGTTATACACAAACGTCGACGAGAGGAGGACGCTCGTCGCATCGGGTTTCGAGAGTCGCGCGATTAATCGACGTCTATCTCGCGACGGGGTGGTTTCTGTCAGTCGATGAATAATTAGGAGCAATCATGACGGTAATTGCGACAGTGGGGTAATCGCGGCCCTTCAAATACGTTCCGATAATTCAAAATGGATAATCATTACAAACTTGCTGGGAATGATGATTGCACATTCATTGCGCGCATTGTAATATGTGTAATTTTATTAAAGTATTAATAATGTTAAAATTAACGCCACAATTATAACGTTATTGAATATTCTTAAATATTACATCCATCAATGTTTGCTTTTTTTATGGCTTTCAGTTTCTGTATTTCACCGTTAATTGTGTTTATTAATATTATTGGACAGCTTACAATATTTATCTTTTCTCTTGTCATGATTATTTCCGATTAAAACAGACTCGGAGATATTGAGCCGTTAAAAATATTTTCCAATTACAAATGAATCTGAAAGAAATCTTTGATTTCGACGATACCTAATATTATAACTTTTTTAATTTATTAAACACATTTTTTCACTCAATTAATGAGAATTTAACTCGTCATTTGTCTATTTGCTTTTTAGAGTTATATTTTATAGAATATATTATCGAGTTCAAAACTAATACATTTGTCCATTTCTTAAATATGTTTTTTTATTTTCTCCGTCCGGTCTTTCACTGCCAATTATGTTTATTATGTCATTGGATATCTTACAATATTATCGTTTCTTTTGTCACGATTATTTTCGATTCATAGACTCGAGATATTGAACCGTTAAAAATATGATCCAATTGCAAATAAATCTGAAAGAAATCTTTGATTTTACCTAATATTATAACTTCTTTAATTAATTAAACACATTTTTTTCACTCAATTAATGAGAATTTAACTCGTTATTTGTCTATTTGCTTTTTAGAGTTATATTTTATAGAATATATATTATCGAATTCAAAACTAAATAATACATATCTCCATTTCTTAAATACTTATGTTTTTTTATCCGTCCAGTTTTTCACCGTCAATTATGTTTATTATATCATTGGATATCTTACAATATTATATATCTTTTCTCTTGTCATAATTATTTCCGATAAAAACATAAACTCGGAGATATTGAGCCGTTAAAAATATCTTTCAATTGCAAATAAATCTGAAAGAAATCTTTGATTTTACCTAATATTATAACTTCTTTAATTAATTAAACACATTTTTTCACTCAATTAATGAAAATTTAACTCGTCATTTGTCTATTTGCTTTTTAGAGTTATATTTTATAGAATATATTATCGAGTTCAAAACTAATACAATTTGTCCATTTCTTAAATATGTTTTTTTATTTTATTCGTCTGGTTTTTCACCGTTAATTATGTTTATTATATCATTGGATATCTTATAATATTATATATCTTTTCTCTTGTCATGATTATTTCCGATAAAAACATAGACTCGGAGATATTCGAGCCGTTAAAAATATCTTCCAATTACAAATAAATCTGAAAGAAATCTTTGATTTCGATGATACCTAATATTATAACTTCTTTAATTAATTAAATACATTTCTTTCACTCAATGAATGAGAATTTAATTCATTTATCTATTTGCTTTTTAGAATCATATTTTATAAAATGTATTATCGAGTTTGCAAAACTAATACATTTCACCATTTTTTAAATTTATATGTTTTTATCTTACCGAGTTTTTCTATCTTTTATGCTTCAGTGACGCCATAAATCATAAACGAAGACATTTGTACAATGTAAATAATATAAAAAAATCCGAAGACAAATTCGTTTTCTATAAGGGACGAAATCTTCCCGTCGAGAGACACACGTATCAAACGGACATATCGAGACATGTGTATCCTCCATTGTGGATGCCCTCCATCGATCGCACAATCGTGGCGTTACCGCGCGTTCACGCAAACGAACCCGGTTTCCAGATTCCGCATACGCAAGCTTGTCCTTGTATCCTCGGTCAACGTCGCGGTATATCCTCAAGCGTATATCCTCTGCGAACGGTATCGACTATCGACCAATCGACTAACAGGATTCGACGTGCGAACTACGAACGCATAGAGAGAGAGAGAGAGAGAGAGAGAGAGAGAGAGAGAGAGAGAGAGAGAGATGCGTGAATATCGATCTCCCTCATCCGCGTGCGAGAAATCCGTATGTACGTGTGTGTGTGTATGTGTGTGCTTGCGCATGCATAGGTACGGCATGTATTATCCGCGCGATCGCGTTCGCGATGGTTTCACGGCCGGCATTCCTCCGCGACGCAATTAACACCTGATAATGATTTATGCAACTCTGGTTTATAGTGTGCTCTTGCGTAAATCGCAAGCACGCATACGTATATACCGTATGTGTGTAGACGACGCATGTAATCACGGCGAAATAAATATTTTGAAACCTAAATGGGAGAGGAGAGGCTGTGTCGTCTCTTCGGTATTTCTCTGTGTCGAGTTGGTGCCACCCCCTGTTTTCACCACATCTCTCCAATATCCTCCGATCTCTCGATTCCCTTGACTCCTCCGTCGAGCGATGTTACAAGAGCCGTCTACAATGGGAGTAGTAAGTCGTAAACTGTAAAATTTGACCAATCACAGTCGAATATGAAAAGAATAATCGACTATGATTGGTCAATTTCTCACGGCTTACTACTCTCATTGTAGATGGACCTTTATAGTCCCAAAGTACAATAGATATAGGAAGCCTTAAGAAATGGACCAATCACAGTCGAATGTAAAGGGAATAATCTTTTATGATTGATCAATCACAATCGATTATTGTTTTCACGTAAGATGAATAATCGACTATGATTGATCAATTTTCTTAAATCTTAAGTCTTAAGTCTCATTGTAGACACCGCTTTAGTCCTGAAATACAATAGGTGTAGCAAGCCTTAAGCTATAAAAAATTAACCAATCGTAATCCATTATTCTCTTCAAATTTAACTTGCGATTGGTCAATTTCTTAAGGTTTAAGAAGGTTTAAGTTATTTCAGGACTAAGTCCCGAAACACAATAGGTATTGTAAGCCTTAAGCCGTAAGAAATTGATCAATCGCAGTTGAATTTGAAGAGAATAATGGATTATGATTGGTTAATTTCTTACAGCTTAAGGCTTACTACACCTAGAGTCCTAGATTATCAGAGAAGCGCGACCGGCTTATGGCAGTATCGACAAAAGTACTAAGAAAATAATTAAAAATGGCGTCGAATGGCCAATCATAAGTTTGATTTATTCGGCAGCCATTTATAATAGCGATAAATCAATCTTAA